GTCACGGGTCTGGAAAACCCGATGTTAGGGCAAAGATAGTAAATAACAAGATGGGCCACTCAGCCAAAAAGTGTCCGCAGGAAGTATGCTCTTTGCTTCAGATAGCGCTGCAGTCTGTTTTGAAGCTCTCTTTCGTTTTTCCAGAAGAAGAATAGGAATAGCACCTCCTTGCGTGCGCGGATCGACTGCTGTTCATCAGCAGTTCGGGTTCGTCCAGTGCGGAGTTTTAGGTTATTTATATTTTAATGACCTCTCGCCTTTCATTATAAAGTCAAATTAAACGAAGAAAACAATCACCCTTTCCTCCGGAAGAGGTTTTTTGTCAGCGTAACCATTTTTAAAAAGCGTTCTTCCGAAATTCATTGAAAAACTTGCTAGTTTAACTTTGATTTTTTAAAACTCAAGTAGGATAACTCTGTTCGCAAAAGGTGCGCTTTTGCGAAGAGGGCGCCACCGAATTTTGAGGACACTTTTTTAATTGGCTCAAAGAGAGAAGTGGCCCCTCTTGTTATGTAGACTCATTGGTTAGGGTCAAAAAATCGATTTTTCACTTTCTCCATTTTTGGGTACCTGAATATCTAAAGAATCGATAACGCTTGAAGTTTCATTATAAAAAAGTCAAGAATTCTCATTTATAGGCTTTTTCCGGAGGGCACCCTAGTCAAAAGTTGGCGCGTTTTCTTCAGATTAGCCCATAATTTGACCGCGACAACTACCGTGTTCCCCCGAATGACCCTATCCTGTTTAGTATCGTTGTTCTCCCAAGCCCCTCTTCTTCTTTCAAATCCCTAAACGATCAAGATCCAATCTTCCCCATGGCTCTTGGCAACCTGTTGTTTCCCGTTTTTATTCAGATAGGAAGTCCGCTTCTAAATGATATTATAGATTATTTAGGTGGGGATGTAAAAACACATAATTTAAATAATAATGATAATGATAATGATAATAATAATAATAATAGTAATAATATAATAATAATAATAATAATCATAATCATAATAGTATTCATAGTCATAGTAATAATAATAATGATAATGATAATAATAACAATAATAATTATTATTATTATTATTATTATTATTAATATAACTATAATAATAATAATAATAATAATAATAATAATAATAATAATAATAATAATAATAATAATAATAATAATTTTTCTTTTTCTTCTCCCACAGCCCTTCAACTTCTTTGTCATCAACCTGACAGCCAGGGACATGATGGACTTCCTCGGGCAGCAGCAGCAGGGACGGGGAGCGTTTGTGCCAGCACAAAGGAGATACTTTGCTGAAGCAGACAGGAGACTGCATCTCCCTCCTGTCCCTCCTCTCCCTCTCCCTCCTCCCCCTGCTCCTGCTGCTCCTCACGCCGGCGAGTCAGTGTTCAAGCGTATATGGGTGTGTGTATCTTCGTTTGTTCGTTCAGTCTTAAACTTTTTTAAGTAATTATGATGGTGTGTGTGTGTGTGTGTGTGTGTGTGTGTGTGTGTGTGTGTGTGTGTGTTCTTGTGTATGTATTTGGTGTGTGTTACTAGTTACATGAAACGATTTATTTGGTGTGTGTTACTAGAGTTACGTGAAACGATGTAATTGTTACTTGTTACACGAAACGGTGAAGCTGTTATTACAGTTACTGTTACTAACTACAGTTATTGTTACTAGTTACATGAAACGCCGTAGAGCTGCTACTAGAGTTACATGAAACGCCGTAGCTGTTACTACAGTTACTGTTACAAGAGTTACTGTTACTAGTTACATGAAACGATGTAGCTGTTACTAGATATACATGAAACGCCGTGGCTGTTACTAGAGTTAAATGAAACGCCGTAGTTGTTACTAGACTTACTGTTACTACAGTTACATGAAACGCCGTAGTTGTTACTAGACTTACTGTTACTAGAGTTACATGAAACGCCGTGGCTGTTACTACAGTAACTGTTACTAGAATTACTGTTACTGGAGTTACATGAAATGCCGTAGCTAGCAAGGTTTAGAGCAAGGGTGTAGAGGTTCTATGTATGGGACTCTATGTACTCTTGGCTCTCTTCATTTGTCGGCCCATGGATCGCAGCTGCAGAGAAACTTGTGCGGTGTCGCAGTCAGACACGCGAGAGATGTGAGTTATAATCTGTAGTAGTGCAAGGAGAGGTTTTGTGGGGGAACTCCACGTCATCTTTCGGATGAGATGTTGGTTGCGGGTGGTTGGCGGGTGCTCTGGTGTGGTTGGCGGGTGCTCTGGTGTGGTTTGCTTTTCTATCAAACATATATCGTCCTTTTCAACTCTTTCTTTTTTAAATTTTTTTGTTTGTTACTATCTTGTAACACCTCGATTCTTCTGACGCTCATTTGGCCTTATGCAGTTGCGAGCGCCGTAAAACCTCTACTAAAACAAACAAGACGTTGTCATCAATTTCTTTTATGTAGGCACCTTGTGCTGGGTGGTGTGTTGGTAATCGCATGAGATGTCCGAACCATTTGATTCTTTGGTGTTGTATGTGATGCATGACATCATTTGCGCCCACCATTTCTCTGATGACTGTTTTTCTAATTTTGTCTCGCCTGGTCTTCTTTACTGCTTTTCTTTGAAAATTCTGTTTTCTTCACCTGCAACTACTTTTGTGTAGCAACATGCATACTATGAAGTGTGGGAATTCGCCTTTCTGATTTCTGTAAGTTTATTCAGTGTTTAAGGCCATGGGCCCTCATTACATCACATAAAACACTCATTTGATAAAAGTTTCCATAATGAATAAGTACAGGTTGTGCACATATCTCTTATCATGGGTCAAACATTGCATATTTCTGTCACTAGGCCGAGTCAGGCTGGGAGGGATTAACAATTTCCTTTGAAGGACAAAGTGTGAACAATAGAAAATAAAGTGAAATGCATCTTCAGTTTCATGAGAGTTACACCTCTCACATAAGGGAGAATTCGTTAATTTCCACTGGTAGAGATTATTTAATGGAAGGCTATGGTATATTAAAACAAAGCTATGACTCTTCTGCTCCAATACCGTGGGAGGATGGTGATATATCCAGCTGTTTCTGATTTCTGTATAACGCTTTGAAATGGGCTGCGAAGTTGCTATTGGCCTAGAGGTTAAGGTGTTGGCCTCTCATTCAAAGGTCCCGGATTCGAATCCGGGTAGCGACCGAAAAACTGTTCTTCTCTAAATTGTCTCCTTTCACTTCATTTCCAGCTTTCTAGCAATGTTCTGTCGTCTGCTTTCGTCTCCTCTTTCTGTCCCCACTCCCTCATCTCCTTTGTCCCCCCCCCCTCCTCTGGGCTCCTGATTCTTTCTACAGCCTTTCTACTGCTACTCCTTGGCTTCTTCTTACTGCTGTCTTTCAGCAACACCCCTGATCTTCTTGTAGGAAAGATCTACACCTAGCCTTCTCGGACAAGGGCGAAAAAACTCGGAGGGCCCGTGTACAAGTTGCGCACGTTAAAGATCCCTTGGTGGTCTAACATCGATAAGAGTAGGCTTCAGCCGCCATCCTGGCAAAATTCAAAATGTCCTACCAACTGAAAAAGTTTAATGTGTCCCGTGGGCTCATATGACCTTATGCAGCTGCGAGCGCCGTAAAACACTTACAAAAACAAACAAAATCTAGTCTTCGGCACTTATATGACCTTATTGTATTGCAAGTGCCATAACTCTTACTCCGCTCTACTGCCTCAAAGTCTCCCCGCCCCTCCCAGGAAATTCAACATCTCTCTGTGCTGGAGTCTGTGGACATCTCTGTCTGTGGACATCTCTGTCTGTCGACATCTGTCTGTGGACATCTCTGTCTGTGGACATCTCTGTCTGTGGACATCTGTCTGTGGACATCTCTGTCTGTCACGTTGATGACAAAGTAGCTGAAGACGTGTGGGAGAAAATATTATATATCTACACCAATTTTTTTCTATTTTAACGTTTAAGATCAAATAACCCGTACACAGCCGTGCAGTGAACTACGTATAAAAAACTAACTTGTGTTTCGGCGCTCATTTGACCTTATGCAGTTGCGAGCGCCGTAAAACCCCATACTAAACTTTAAAAAAACTTTTAAAAACTAACCTTTCTAGGGAGCTCTCGGGGCCTAGAGGTTAGGGTGTTTGCCTCCCATTCAAAGGTCCCGGGTTCGAATCTGGGTAGCGACCGAAAACTTTTCTTCTCTAAAACTGTCTCCTTTCACTTCCTTTCCTGCTTTCTAGCAATGTTCTGTCATCTGCTTTCGTCTCTTCTTTCTGCCTCAACTCCCTCATCTCCTTTGCCCCCTCCTCTGGGCTCCCGACTCTTTCTGCAGCCTTTCTACTGCTACTCCTTGGTTTCTTCTTACTGCTGTCTTTCAGCCACACCCCTGATCTGATGGTAGAAAAATATCTACACCTAACCTTCTGGGACAAGGGCGAAAAATCTCGAAGGGCCCGTGTGCAAGTCGCACGTTAAAGATCCCTTGGTGGTCTAAAATTGATAAGAGTAGGCTTCGGCTGCTACCCGGGCAAAATTCAAAATTTCCTACCAACTGAATATTTTTAATATGCCCCGCGCGCTCATCTGACCTTATGCAGTTGCGAGCGCCCTAAAACGTAACCAAAAAACGTGGGTGGAGAGGAAGACAAGCAAGAGTTTTCAAACATAGGTTAACTAGGCACTTCAGTGAAGTTTTCAAACTTCTCCAAGGGCACTGAAATTAGGAGTATAGGATATAGAGCGTGGCTTTCTGTTTCAGAGACTTTTTTAATGTTTGTGCTATCTTTGTTAGTCCAGAATCAGCGCCATTTTTGAGAATCAGTTTTTGCCCTGATTCTGCCCAATTTTTGTACTGCATGTTGCGCACCAAATTTCCAAATCTTGTTTCAAAGCGTCATAAAATCCGTAACCCTATCCGTACGCCCTGGGGTCATTTTGTAGCCCTGGGGTTGCATTCTTCACATTTTGCAATACTTCTAGAACGAAGATTTCTTTGAAACGTTTAGAATTTCTCAAAAAATCGTTTTGACAGACTGCTGTGCAAAGATTAACGAGTAAATTTCCTCTTTGGAAAGTGGTGGCACAGGGTTCCCCCACGTCGTATGAATGAGATACTAAACACGACGTACGGATAAGGTTAATAATAGTTGTATCGTAACTACTGAGGTATCATTTTTTTTGTTTATGTAGAATCAATAAATAAGCAACAAACATTCAGAGTAAAATTCTAATTAGCGTTTAATTACACCATAAGCGTGACGTAGGGAGCCTGATGGGTATGATCCAAAATAAAAACGGGCTGCTCAAATATAATATTACACAATTTATGACCATTGATTATTTGGAATGTACTTGCCATATTTTTTTAACTACCCTTGTTGATAAACCATTCTTTGTTCTACCAGAAAACATTCCAATGGTTATCTTAGAAGTGATACCTTGACAAGGCAAGTCTTTCCCTTTTACCAACCAAATCCGCGAAGACCTCGCTGAACCCTTCCACCGTGACATCGCGCCGAGCCGTGACGTCACACATTTTTCGCCTAGAGCTTCTGGCTCGCTCTGTTCATTGTTGGAAATGTACAAGACAGGGAAATACATTGTACATCACTCGGAGATTTTGGAACTTCAGTTTGAAAGGTCAATACATTTTGGTATGTTTTATAATCACTGACTTTAAATTGTACTCAATTCCATTCGAAATTCTAAAGAAAGCGAGAATATTTAGAGCCAAGCATTTCCTTTTCACTGAGCCCCCCCCCCCCTAATCTTCCACTTTTTCCTGCCCACAGTCTTTGGGGTTGTTCAAATAATATAATCTTACACCTTTTTGGGGGGGAATTTTTGCCCCCTCATCCCTCCCCATTTTTTCACAATGTTCTTACATTTGCCTCTCAACACTTCCCCGCCCCCCAATCCCCATCCCACAATATTACATTGTTTGCTTATAATAATACATGTCATATGATTTATATCGTGCAAATCCGTGTTACAATCATTGTTCTATGTACTTTACTTAATATTTATGAAAAACATGCATACACCCATGTATTGCACTTAATAATATATGTGAGGCAGCATGGAGGAATCAGGCTCTCGTCAATTTTTGGGCAAGTAGAGTTATTGGTATCATCTTAAAGCTTGTTCAATTGTCTTTATTTGGATGAAAAAAATATCCATTTATCTGGAATACAAGTCGAGATATTTGCGAATGAAGGATGTGGGGGGTCACCTGTTTTCAGAGGTAAAGTTAGTGAGAAATTGTCTGCCAAAGACTACTTATTTTCTTAGCTTTAGAGTCCGTGGTAACTGGAAATTTTCATTTTCTATGCCTTTAATCGTTTTTCAGAAAAATCCACACAGATATGAGTTCTTTAATGGGCATGAAAGGTGCTGTGTCAAAAAAAATATTGATGAAAATTCACAAACCTGTGATTATTTTCACGAGAGCCTGATTCCACCACGCTGCCTCACATATATGCAGTTCTACATTCAATTTAAAAAATTGAAGTAAAACAAAAAAAAGTAAATCATTCAAGCAAAATATTGTATACATGCTTTCTTACTAAGGAAAAAAAAGACGTCAATGTCAAAAGCACCTTGATTACAAATAATACAAATTACAGTGGAATTCTGATAAAGTCAACACCTCGGGACCGAAAAAAAGTTGAAATTGGAAATTGATGATAACAGCTACAAAATTACAAAGTACCTGGTAACAAGATGTTTGCTCAATTTTAGCGAGTATAATTCTGAAGTTATCACCAAAACACGAGATAATGAGTGAACAAAGCAATTGGTGGTGTGTACACCACTAACTCAGGACCTAAATATCTCTTCTTAAATGAATTCATCTTGGGATCAAGCCCCAAATTATTGACTTTACGCCAGGGTAACTCTCAAGCGGTTGACTGTATCAGAAACACAATTACTTAAACAAAGAAGGTAAGAAACGGGACCACGGTGAGGTGTTGACTGTAAGCGAGAGTTGACTGTAAGCTAGTTGACTTTATCAGGATTCCGCTGTATCTGTTATTACTGATCATTATGCCAAAGACAAAAGGTGAAGTTAGTTATCATCAACAGATGCAATGTTCATTTTTACGTCAAATATATTTTTAAAATCAGGGGCATCTGCTGAACTGTCTTCCAAATCTGGGTCCTGTTCCTTCTCCTTCTCCTCGTCCTCCTCTTCTTCCTCCACCTCCATTTCTTCCTCCGTCCTGTGTAAAGCCCTGTGCCTCTTCAATGCTGCAATACCTGGAAAATACTTTCCCCATCCCTTGTAGCCTGTGCACTCTGGCCTATGAAGCCTTACTTACACTTTTCTTACAGGAGCCAAAAACATAATTTTACACCTGGAAAGGGGGGGGGGGGGGTCTTTGGCTCCTGTAAGAAAAGTAAGAAAGCGTGTGTGAGGGGGGGGGGGGGTCTTGATACAAAGTAATATTACACTTTTGTGTGGTGAAAAAAGTGTGGTGTTGGTCAAGAAAGGCTGCATAAGCCAAAGAGTGTGCACAGGCCACAAGGGATCTTTCCCTTTTCTTACAGGTGCCAAAGACATAATCTTACCCCTGGAAGAGGGAGGTGGGGGGTGTCTTTGGCTGCTTTAAGAAAAGTGCAAGAGGGGGGGGGTCTTGAACACAGGCCACAAGGGATGTAGAAAGTATTTTCCAGGTATTGCAGCATTGAAGAGGCACGGGGCTCTTTACACGGGAAGAAATGGAGGTTGAGGAAGAAGAGGAACAGGAGAAAGAGCAGGAACAGGAGGAAGAGCAGGAACAAGACTCAGATTTGTAAGACAGCTCAGCAGATGCCTCTGATTTAAAAATATTTGGACGTAATGATGAACACTGACTTTGTTGATGATAACTAATTTCACTTTTTGTATTAAACATAATGAGCAGTAATAACAGATACAGTGAAATCCTAATAAAGTCAACTTGTTTAAAGTCAACTCTCGCTTACAATCAATACCTCACCGTGGTCCTGTTTCTTACCTTCGATGTTTAAGTAATTGTGTTTCTGATACAGTCAACCGCTTGAGTGTTACCCTTGCGTAAAGTCAAAAATTTGGGCCGAGATTCCAAGATGAATCCATTTAAGAAGAGATATTTAGGTCCTGAGTTAGTGGTGTACACACCTCCTATTACTTTGTTCACTCATTATCTCTTGTTTTGATGACAACTTCAGAATTATACTCCCTGAAATTGAGAAAACGTCTTGTTACCAGGTACTTTGTCATTTTCTAGCTGTTATCATTAATTTTCAATTTCAAGTAGTACAGTGGATAAAGTCGACCTTGTTCAAAGTCAACACTTTTCTTTCGGTCCCGAGGTGTTGACTTTATCAGCATTCCACTGAAATTTGTGTTATTTGTAATTAAGGTGCTTTTGACATTGACATGAGTCTCATTTTGTCCCTTATTAGTAAGAGTGTATACAATATTTTGCTTGAATGATTTACACTGTAATGTTTTTAGCGAATGTAGAACAGCATACATAAATATTATGTAAAGTACATAGAACAATGATTGTAACGCGGATTTGCACAATATAAATCATATGACATGTATTATTATTATAAGCAAACAATGTAATAATGTGGGATGGGGATTCGGGGCGGAGGGGGGGTTGGGGGAGGGAGCAGCGTGGAGAGGCAAATGAAAAAAGTGTAAAAAAAGGAAGGGGGCAGGGGGTGAGGGGGCAAAAAGTCCCCAAAAGGGTATAAGATTATATTTGAGCAGCTCCAAGGGCTGTGGGCAGGAAAAAGTGGAAGATGGGGGGGGGGGGGGGGG